TCAAAGAGTGGTAGCAACAATAGGAATACAACTCATGAGATGGTGAAGCATTGTAAGGACGACGAGAGTGTACAACTCATGCGATGGTGAAGCATTGTAAGGACGACGAGTGTGTAGCCATGGTCACTACCCTACCTACCCATTGCACCCCGCGAATGCCTTTGGCTGCCAGTGTGGTGTGAGTGAAGTCAATCAGGCGCGATGAGTCTCGGCCAATGTGCGCTGCAGCACACAAGGCCTCCTTCCCCAGAATCCCTTAGCGAGCCATTCGCAGCGAAAAACAAATCTATGAGAAAATTGTCCTGACCGCTTTCATAGCGCTCCCCGCGGCTTTTGCTACTGACAGGGGTGGTATGTACTAATGGGAAAGGTGCTCTGTTTCTAGATAGCGTGAATAGCTACTGATAGGGGTGGACTATACTAGCGGGAAAGGTGCTCTGTTTCTAGATAGCATAAACAAAGCACTGTACCTAGTATAAGGTGCATAGAGGTACAAAATGCAGAACAGTGAGTAGCATCGAGGGACGTTGCATGGTTGCCTATCAATTTGATCCCTGAATGCGAATCTCGTTGCTTTCTCCTCCCAGAATAGCTCCAGTTATGGCGCGTGATTGATTTTGCCATACGTTTAGTGTTGTAGTGTACATGTACACATACAGTTATGTGCATATACACATCTATTCATTATTTGACGATGCGTGAAGGCGTCCATGTATACCCACCATTCTAGAGACCATCTTACCATACATTTAGTGTACATGTACACATACATTTGGTGTACATGTACACATACAGTTACGTGCATTTGCGCTTATGTTCATTATTTGCGATGCATGAAGGTGTCCATGAATATGCACCATCATAGAGACCATTCTTGGTTTATCAATTTTACTGTCTCAAATGTTCTTTTCGGTCTCAATGTGTCGTAGAAGGCGGGCCAAGGCAGGTACTAACACGTGCCTATGCATACCGAGCCAGTTCAGTAAGTAAATAAGCGGAACAAGGAACTAGGCAATCAGCCGAAAATATCACTATCGTTGCACGTATAGTGTGCCGCGTGTTACATATGATGAATTGTAGCGTGTTTATACTTCAGCATCAGGGTGGACTTCTTAGGCCTCTAAGTATGAAGCTATAGTACAGCTGGTTAGCTATCTGCGTTGATTACGTACCTATATAGATGTACGTGACCGTATCTACTATAAATTTAATATATCACGATTAATGTACTCAATGTTTATGTATACGAAAGTGACACCTAGTACGAACATGATCGCATCCTTCTCCGTATATGCGTGTGTATACACTACGGCTTATGTGATTATTTGAATTAATAAACAAGACTGAATCATGACCACAAAGATACACTCAATAGATGTACGACGTAAAAATAAACACTATCGGAAACTTAGACAGAATATCAAATCCCTCAAAACAATATCACATATGTATACGTAATGCATATGTATACGTATATGTACATGTATAATGCAAATATATATGTATGTATATGCGTAATATTTTTTTAAAAAGTACATGTACATATCTTACATATACATATATATATATATTGTACAGTTATATATGTATATACACGTACAGGCACAACACAAATACACACACGAATTTATACACACGCACACACACACATAAATAAATATATACATACATTTATATATATATATATATATATATATATATATATATATATATATATATATATATATATATATATATATATATATA